AAAACGCTTTCTATGAGAATAGAGTGCTGACTAGGCGTTAAATTCCTGAATCATCAGGGAAGATGAATTTGCTGAGTATTAATTGGTTCCTGAAGCAGAATCTGACAATGGAGCGTTCTATTTTGGCATTATCAAACTTTTTTTGTCTGTAGATACTTATAAGACGTCTAGCCCAGTCATGGAACCCATGTTGTAAGATTGGATGCGAAAATCTGTGCAACCAAAAGTGTGGACGCGAAATGTTTAAATTCGGTTGTATTACATCCAGGAGCTATACAGAGAGAACGAAAGCAAGCAAGACGGGATAGATTTCATCAGCAATATCAATCAGAAATTTAAAACGCACAGCTATGCCGGCAGTTTTATCATGCCTTACAACATAGGTTCTAAAAAACGTACCTTTAGATCGTATTTACGATGAACCGCATATTTCCGGCCGAGAATGTTGCGCATTACAATCAGATACGTCTCATTTCCGTCCACAGTAAGACGATATAACCCGAGAAACTGCGGCAACAACGTTTTGCCATGTTTCTCTACCACATACTGAAACAAATTCCTATTAAAAGTGCCAATTCAAATCAAAGTCAAGCTATTCTCTTGGACAGACGGAACCAAGGGAATGCCTGGGGATCACCGAAATTCACTACGGGCACCACTTGCTGTTTGTGGCTCGTTCCTTTTGGAAGTGGAGTCACCCGAAAAAAAAGTTATGCTAACAATATCGAAGACCGTCAATGATTCACCAAAGGACTGGTTTCTAAACGGCCTGACCTTAGAGTAAGACGCCACTTATCACCACACTAGTCCTAATTGTCTGTATTTATAATCATTATTATAACACATATTAGTGATAATCATTATTGTGACAGAGATCAGGAAGCGCTTACTTCATGATACGATCTGAGGATAGAATGAAGCTCGGCAACCGCTTCCGAATCCATTGACTTTATCACGAATTTCTTATCATGCGATATGAAGAAACGAGGACCACTTTTCTCCACTTGATCCAGTTCGGTCTCCGGCTCTGCGTATGTTAAAGAACGCTGCAAGAAAACTGCTGACAACGCATGAATTACTCTTCTTCAAGCCGGAATCAAAATACCGAAGAGTTAATCGAAAGCAGCAGTAGCAGTGGCACAGAAAGTTTTGAAATTTTCGAATCAAAGATCCAGCAATTAAGATAACACACTTTGTTCTAGGACTGACAGATGATACTAAACTCAAAAGATGACCTAAAAAGGCAAAAAGCCTTTCCAAATGTCTCTGTCGAGGAAAATTCATGTGTGTTTTTATCTTTCAAAAGAATAACTTCCCTCACTCCACTCTTTAAACTTGCCTTCCACCGTAAGCGTGGACGTTCTTCATGTTTAATACCTACAAATTTTTAAGGAAATAAGAAAAGCATACCAAATATTCGTTTTGATCAACACCAAAATGGTCGCGAAGATTTCGGAAGACATTTGGGCAGTAGTCTTTGATTTTGAAATGACTTGGCATGTTGTCCCTGCAAAACAAGAATAATTTCCTTCTTCTACATTTGTTACCCTTTCTTAGGCTTTTAAGTCGAAATAAGAAAAAAACTTCAAAGTCAAAAATAAAAACCCTCCTCGCATTCACTGCCTGTGAGAGATGGAAGTGTTCGGGCATAGCAGAAGTAGCAGCACATATCAATCACCCACTGGCAAGGCTGTCGATGGCTTCTTTTTGAAGCAAAAAAAAAAAATATTAGCAATTTCAGCGTAGTTTTCGGGGAAGTTTCTTTTCATTCAGGCAAAATGTATTTCTTTTTTTTTTTTTTTTTTCTAATAATTCCTTTCACAAAGAGTTCGCGTGCATAACCCAGGTTGCAAATTTACACTTTAAATTTATATTTTTTCAAAAAAAAAATTAATAACATGTACGATCTTTTTCCAAACGGTGGCCACTTACTTATTAAAAAAGTGATTGTCAACTTTGATTTTAACAGAAGCCTTGAAATCATCCGGCATCAGAAGGCCCGGCGGTGGCACATGCATCAGCTCACTGATCTAAAGCACTTCAATCAAAAAACCGAGAATATGTTAAATTTTCGAAATATTTTTATTTCTTTATTCTTTGAATTTTTTTCCTTTCGCCTGCCAGTATTGGTCGTCACAAATTCACAGTGTTGCATTGTTCAGCGCGTTCTTCATCCTCTCTCCTCTACTTTCGCCCTACCATTATATCAGTTTTGCCCTTGCTGTATCACTCATTTCATTATTCTAGCTGTAATTTCACCCTTAGCTGCCTTTAATTTTCATTTTTTACATTGACTTTTTGACAACACTGGATAATAGATTTTTTTGTAGAACTCAAATAAAGTTGAGCTTTCTGGACAGCTGCTGGCAACTTGACTGACTGATCGGAAGACAGCAGAAGTCGAACAGGCAACGACAGATGTCCTAAGTGATTCAGTGAAAGCGTTAATAAAATTCAGGGACGTTAAACGTTCGTTTCATGTCTAGGGACCTAACTGTGGTGGCAAAAAAAGTTACCGAAATTTCTGCTTCTAGGCATCGCTCGTCTGGAAATCAAAATATGTGGACAACAACAGACATAACCTCGAGACAATATGAGTTTTTATGCATTTTTGCATTTATGAAAAGCAAAAACACATGCTCTCGATGAGTTATCTGTGTGTTTGTGCCTGTACGTGCGTCTGTACCGATTTTTTATCTCGAGACAGAAAAGCTACAAGACTGAAAATTTGGAAACTTAATCTACACGCACGCACGGGCCCTGTCTCCAAAATGGACGCTCCTGCCTGTGTGGTTCCCACATATGGGCCCGCAAAAATTATTGGCGAGTAAGTTGATAACTCGGGAAACAGAAAGCTAGAAAGCTGAAATCTTAAAGGGACATTTACCACTCTAATAACTTCAAATTCAGCGCCCAAATGTATGTGCTATTCGTGTACAAGCACGTGAAAATCTTTGCCGGATAAGTTGCTTACCATGGAACCAGAAAAACTAAAAAGCTGGAATTCTAAAGGGAATGTCTTCTCACACTAGTGATGGCCAGTCTCAATTCTTTTAGCCAGAAGCATCTACCAGAAAACAGCGACGTTTGAAACAAAAGTGCGCGCGGTGCTGTGCAAAAAATGCCTCTTCGTATCAAAATGTCTCTTTGCAAAGAAGCAAAAAAAAGCACAATAAACAAGGCGTCAAATTATACTCCAAAAACACAAAACTTTTGTAGCTTAATTTTATTCCTTTTGCACATAGGGCTTGGCAAGCTGTTTTTCATTATTTTGTAGGTGACCTGACACTACGATTTTCCTGCAGCAATACCTTACAGCCCATCCCAAACGAAGACTCTCAGCGGAGCGTTGAAGTAAACAGATAAAGGGATTATTGAAGAAACTTACTGAATGATTGACACCCCACATGAAAACGGAAAGAAGCGGCTCTTTGGCTCGGAACAGTTTCCATTTTGGTACTAGGACTTTTCCTTTTCCTTTTTTTCCTTTGCGAGGTGTTTTCTTCTTCGAAGACATTCCTAAAACGAAGCACTGGGCAGTGTAGTGAAAAATTGAAAAAAAACCAACTTTTGTGTGCAAAAATGAGATTAGACGAATAATGTACGATGAATGATTTTTGAAATTAGACGAATGATGTACGATGAATGATGGACAATATGGTAGGATGTTAAAAGCGAGGGCTTTGCGGGGACGTGATGTTTTTCGAAATTGAGCAAAATGGGAAGGGGTTGTGAGCAGCGCCGTCGGCAGGGGCGAAAGAGGGGAAGCCATGGTGATGATGGATAGCAGCTGCGCGAAATTTCTCCTAAGCAAAAACAATTTAAAAAAAAAAAATGTTCTGATAGCACGAAAACTGAAATTTTTATGCGTTTTTTGCAGCTATGCAATGCAAAAACGCATATTGTCGAGAGGTTGTCTGTGTGTGATGTGTGTGTGTATGTGTGTCTGTGTGTTCGTCTGTAACGAGTTTTCATCTCGAGATCCACAAAAGCTACA